CTTCATTGGCCCACATGATGCAGAAAATTAGGACGTAAAACTCCATTCATTCATTCATTCATTCAGAATATGATGAACATTGTTTATAAATAATGTCAGAATATGATGAATAATGTTTATATAAATTGTTCTGAATACGATAAACAATGTTTATATCAATTGTTAGAATACTGTGCACGATATTTATATCAAAACTATATAGGTAACCAAAGAGTCATGTTCCTTAAGCACCAGTAGGTTTATATCAAAAAAATATATTCTACCGGAACATGCCAACGAGTATACTTCGATTATTTTCTTTTGAAACTTAAAAAAGTGATAAATTCTTGAGATTAGAATTTCGTAAAGATTTGCTGATTTATTAGCCTAAATTATTATTTTTCTCTGATTAATAATTAAATTTGTACTAAAAATTGAATTTATGTCTAAGTATACAAGTATATATAAGTATGGTTCCGATCCTTATCATTAGTAGTACACATATGGGTCTCTTTCTGTGTTCGTTATTGTAAATGTCATAGAACCTAGTATTTAAGACATGTATTTTGAATTCGATAGATTCGTTTCGATTAATTCATTATTACAGTTCTGAAAGTTTTTGTCAATTTCTGAAAGAATCATTGACGTAAGTTTATCATACTCTTATGTAACGTAGATCGAGGGAGATGATGTTTTCAAGAAAATAAAACACCATTTGGTATTTTCAACTGTGTTCTTTTGTTTTTTGAGATATTGGGTCGTCATTAAAAAAAATAAATATTGTGATATTTTTCTCTTTTCAGGAAACACACCCTCTGGGTGGAACTCCCTTGGCAATGTTAACAGCTCAATACAATAAAATAAACAGTAAGAGTCCTCAGCCTCTACTAGATACCAATTTACCCAAAGGTTTCCATCCGTGGAAAAAAGAACCTGGAACATCGCCTGGAGCCATTGGTCTGACGTCACAGAAAACGTCTGCTCTAACGACAACCACCTCCGTAGCTAGTAATTATTTATCTTATGGTCGTACTTCAAATACTACTGTAGCCTCCAGCAACACGCTAAATAATGATCTCTTCTACTCAAACAGCTCAGCAAATTACCCCCCTTCAGAAGGTTCACCGACATCTCTATCTCAGAAGTTACCCACACCGCCAAGTGAGGGCACCATCAGTTCCCCGGGGCTAGGTTCGGTTTATACAAGGATGCACGGATTGGCTGGGCATCCTTACGACACCTGGCCGTTTAGTGGTAGTCATACATCTGGGATAAAGAGCGAAGTAAACACTCTCAATGGAACCTCGGCATGGTGGGATGTTACCAATGATTTCGTCAGGTCACAAATAACCACCAACTATCCATCCACTGAATATTCATTGAGCCACGCCCTGGGTTCAAATCCTAATAATATTTATTCTTCTGGTCAACATCTTTTACAAGACACATACAATACATACAAATCGATGTTAACGAACCAAACGGAACTTTCTCCAAACACAGTTAGTCCATTTCTAACCAGGCCAGGAATGCCGACCATCTCCACTTCTCGAACTCAACGACGATACCCAGGTCGATCAAACTGTAACTGTCCCAACTGCCATGAAGCAGATAGACTAGGCCCGGCGGGAGAACATCTTCGTAAACGAAATATCCACAGTTGTCACATCGCAGGCTGTGGAAAGGTGTATAACAAATCATCACATTTAAAAGCTCATTTACGATGGCATACAGGAGAACGACCGTTCGTCTGCAACTGGTTGTTCTGTGGTAAAAGGTTCACTCGCTCAGATGAACTGCAGAGACATTTACGAACACACACCGGAGAGAAACGATTTGCCTGTCCAGTCTGCAACAAAAAATTCATGCGTAGCGACCATTTGGCAAAACATACGAAAACGCACACAGAAGGCGGAAAAGACGGAGAGGAATGTGGCAGCGATTCGGAAAACGGACAATTGTCGGAAGAAAGGAAACTGGCTAACATTGACAGTAGAAAACTTCTGTAATCATGAAGAACTTATGTGAATAAGTAATGACTAGATCAGTATAGATATTGCTTTAAGGAAGAACATTGCTTCTAAAAACTTGAATGTGATCCCTAAACGAATCTTTAAAATATCTAGTATTTTTCAATAAGAAAAAAGTTTGTAGAACTTTTTTCTTATTGAAAAATACTAGAATCATAGAATAACAGAAATGATTTGCAAAACATATCATAAGTCACTGCTAGTTTTATGGGGTTTTTTTCCGAATGATCTGAGAATACAAATAAAACAACTTGAAAACAACTTGTTACATGATTGTATTGTTTGTTTTTTTCATTATTACCATTATCTGTATATATTATTTTACATTATGAGCATTTTTTGCACATTCAGTGTGTCATAATGACTTTTGTAAATATGATATGTGATTATGATAATTTATTTTCAAGAGAAATTGTCATAATGACTGTTTTGAAGAATTTAAAGCGTGTACACTGTTTTAATTGATATGATTATTTAATGTTGTAAATTATCTAATGAGGGAATATGTAAATACAGTTGTAAACTATTCACCAATTTATAATTGTCCATAGAGGTGGTTGGGTAGGTCTATACGGTTTTATTAGGTATAATAATATCGAGTCCTACTGCACATCTGTTTGTATGGAAGACCATCCTAATTAAAATATAAAATCAATAACTTTTCAAATATATTGAAAGTACAGTTTACAGATTTAAACTACCATAATCGACAATATAGGTTTTTTTTTTGTAAAGACAGTTTATGCAGACTTTGACCAAAGCACCTGTTTAAAAAGGTCAGCATGCTTTCATCATACCCAATTAAATCTCATATTACAAATCACGTGATCTGGTAAATTATTTCATTCAAGAGCAACTTTTTATGAAGTGCGTGAAGTTGTGGCGTAGTTAATTAGGGACTGTGTTCTCGTAAAGATATTATTATCTTTAGGGATTAAAAGGGGCTCTGATATTAACAGTGTAACCCCGTCGCTCAGCAGGCTTCTGTTTTCCTAACAGTGAGCTAAATCACGACCCCTAGTTTGACAAAATGATTGCTACTTTAACGTCAAGTGTATAATTAGCCTCTCTAATGATACATATTTGACTTATTATTTGTATGATTAAGGGGCAGGTGAAAACCGTCAAGCCTATACATTACAACTCTTCTAGTCTGTCTCCGTATATTCTTATCATACTCACAAATCATAAACCTTTTTATGGCTTGTTTTGTGCTTGTTTTAGACATTAGATCAAGTCTTTTTTTTTTCAAGCGGATATATTTTAATCCCCCAGTTGCTCTGAAAATATGATACAAATTTGACCAGATGTACGATTCACTGTAACATAAGTCATTTGACCACAAACCCTGTCACTTTGAACTTTAGCCAAGGGTTTTCGATATAGGTATATACAAAGTTGTATATAAAGGTGCTTACTTGATAAATCGAGAGGAAATTCTCCAAATCTCCATCATAGGCTTTGACTTGACTCACAATCAATTATATTGGATACACACTTTTCCAATAGTAGATTTTGTCTCGATAATGCAAATATGTTGTGTTTATTCAACGATAATATTGGCGAACAAAGTTTATGCTCAAAACAAAACTCAATTGAATTTTTATATACGAATTGTAATAATAAAAGACAGTGAAATTATAAAGCAGCACTTTCAAAAGTTACATGAAAATTCATAGAAATTATAAAATGGTACACAAGGATTTCATAGATATCCCGTTAATGTATTTATTCAGAGAAGAGTATAAAAATATACAAAATTATCCTTGACCATGAGGTAAGATTTTAAATTCAAGGCTAATGCAATCGACCTATTTATGTCTCTTTCGCTCTACATTAAAAGCTTATGAGACAACTTTATCAGAGACGTGGCAACACTAAATTTTGGATAAAATGCCCGAGAAAAGTAAACTTGATAGACTGAGCTCGTTTTTGTTAATATACATAAATCGTAATTAAATGAGATCACAATATATAATCAAGCACAGTTAGACTCTGGCGAGCGAACTTCTCCATATCGTAAGAGTTATCCCTCTCCCGCCTAATCACATCATACTAATGTATGTAGTACAAGCCTTGCATAATGTCATGTTCTGTGCAGTTTAAAAAATGTACGCAATACATGTGAAAACAGAACGCTTAAAGGGGGATAACTTCATGTCAATGTTGTTCTTCTTAACACTATTTTCGAATTTCTACTCAATCTAATAGCCTTTAACATACATACAATGGCTATAAATAAATGGCAAGAAATTAAAATAAAGCTTTCTTATACACATATATAAATATTTCTACATATCCCTAGAAATTACATATTTATTATAAATAATGTTGTATTAAATATTAAGAATTATTATGTCATTCGTATTTTTATGATTTGGGCAATTAATCAATTTTGATAACACCATTTTTTCGATGTAATTAAGGACAATGAATTTAAACTTTTTCCAAAATTGTGACAATCTATGCGACTGCCCATTATTATGCTTGACTCTTTTTCTTATTTAGAATAGGCTAACAATATAACGAACAACACACTCTGAGTATTATTTACTTTGCGTAGAGTAGAAGGGAGGGGTAACTGAATTAAATTATAAAAGCATGCAATTTAAATGTTGTTTAGCGGTGCAATATGGTGTTTAAAGTTTCGATTTTTTTCCTTTAAAAACAAAAACAAAGGAATTTCAGATCACTTGAAATTTATGCAAATGCTAAATCATGTAGGCCCACTAATCCCAACCTTTGAACTTTTACAAAATTTTATAGCAAATTCCCTTGTCACAGCACTTTCAAGAACCAGGAAATTAATTGCACGTTTTCTAATTAATTCAATATTAAGAGCTAATTTGGCGTCGAACTTTTGTACGTACTACTTGCAACATAATGAGCTTACGGGCGCCATATTTGTCGCCAAGGGCAACGATGGTGCTCTTATCTTGACTCATGGTGATGTAGAAAACGTCAACTCCAGCGTTGAATGAACAGATCTGTTTACCACTTTTCAACTGCCATAATCTAATGGTACCATCACGTGAACCTGATACTATTATTTCGTTATCTGGTGAAACAGCACAACACCACACCTACAACAAGATTACACTCAATGTTATTCAAAATTATTGACAGAAATATAATTTATCATCAAAAGTTGCACATTTTGGGTAATTGATTAAAGGTATTATACATTCTTAAAATATCTATGTATTTGCACCGAGACGCATAAAACTGTCGTTTGAAACGGTCCAATTATTATTATAGAAATACCAAATAAACATTATTGAGGGAACTCTAAAAGTGATGCTGAATTGACAAACCAAATCGCAAATTTGTACTCTGGGCAGATATTGATAATAGAGCTTGAATTGTTGTAGTACCAGACTTACCTCATCTTGATGTCCAGACATAGTTGTTAACTGTCTCTCGGTTTCTAGATCCCAAGTCTTTAATAATCCATCGGCGGAGGCTGATACCAAATATTTATTATCCTTAGATCTAGCAAGAGCTTTAACTTCTCGTTCATGAGCAGCACGACCATTGGGTGACACTAGTTGTCTGTTAGGTTGTCCATTGCGCAGACTCCATACAACAAGATCTCCATTACGTAATCCAGTGACAGCTTCATCACGTGGTAACACTTCTGTCACTTCCGGATTAGCATCTAATCGGAGGAAACTTGGTTCCATAACATTATAACTAGTAAGAGTCATGTCAAAGACAACGAATTCAGCATGATTGTCAAAGGTGTTCGTGAAACCGGCGATCACATACCGATCATTTTGAGATAAATTAAGGTAATGCACATAGTCATTGTTTCCTACTGGGCTATCATAACGCATTTCCTTGATAGGTTGATTGCCCATAATATCCCACACGACTACAGCGGTACCATTTCCAAATTTATCAGTTCTAGCAAACACTATCTTATCATTGTCACTCATAACACACAATGCTGAACAATATTCTATCAATGATGACATCTCTAATGGTTGACCAGTGCTGAAGTCCCAGATCTGTAAAAAAGGAAAGATATCAAAGCTTATAATGCTATCAGAAGTGCAGGACAGCAATGTGACTACAAAGTTTCGTGGATTGAAAATTTGTGAACTTCAGACCAGGTGATTATAAAGATAATTATGGCTCATCTTACCTGTAACTGCCTGTTTGTCACATTTTTCCTGACAGAATATTCATTGATCTCCAAATCTGCATTGACTGCTCCTACTAACATACGGTCGTTACAAGCTAAATGCAGATTGGTTGAACCCATGGTGTAGCCCTTCATCACTCTGAGTAGTTCACCAGACTGAAATACGATGGTATGGAATTATATACATGTATGTATTAGAAAACTAGTATTATAATTATGTCTGCTATCTTAGACAGTTTCAAAGCATCCACATAAAATAATATACATGTACATGAACTTAATCATCAGTTTTACTTTAAAAGCCAGATACTAATTTGTAGTTTACCATTTATACTCTTTAGCATCAATCTAGAAAGTAACAAAATAAAAAAAATACCTGCATATCCCAACATTGTGGAGGTCCGTGACTGGAACCAGTAACAACACTGCTACCATCATGTGTCATCAAACAGCAGTCCACTCTTACTTCCTCGCCCATAGCACCTGGTGTTGGTGGTATGACATTGTGTCCAGCATAACCCATCATTTGATGTTGTCCAGTGACGGTACGTACATTCTGCATGTTATAGTTGTACATAGAGAAGTTGGATTGAGAGTAGCCTGATTGAAGAGTGTTGCTTTGGTAGTTCGCAGATCCTCCTCCTCCTCCTCCGTGGGCTAGATCATAGTCAGCCATACCATGTCCTTCGTAGTTGTACGACGCAAGAGTGGCTGGTGATCCGAGAGTTCCACCATCCACGACACTGGAGTTTGATTTAAGAGTGTTTTGTTGATAATAGGCAGATGAACCTCCGCCATAACCTCCTCCACCTGAAACTTGAGAAGCAGTAGATCCAAGATAGGCTCTCTGTGCCTTAGGAGTTCCAATGTTAGTTCCAGAGCTAGTAAAGGTCCCTGTTCCTCTTAATGTAGCAGTATCATAGTTTACAGCACCTCCTGAGACGGATCCTGGGAAGAAACATGAGAGTGAGATGGCCATTAGATTTGTTTGCAATGACAACACCAATATGATACCACACCATCTGCTATACCAATACTAACAACTGAACTAACTTCTAAACTACTACATTCTAGCAAGGGACAGGGCCTCTCGACCTTTAGAAGTGTTAATATAAGACATTACTACATTTAACCCTAACCCAAGATATCACTCATATTATATTTTAAAGATATGATTCTTTTTTTCGAAAGTATTCATGGAATATATTTTGATCCAAAATTTGGCGAGCTCTATGTACATAATCAAAATGAGATTATTTCCAAATAATATGGAAGAAAGTTGCATCATTATGATATCAAATATTGGTTTCTATGGCAATGTCTATATAACTAGTTATTGTTAGTAATGGCATGCATTATATCATAAATAACTTTGATATTTCTCGGAATATAATGATTATAAAGTTATATAATGAGATATGATGGGCCCATATAAATTAACATATATACACAATAGTGAACAAATAATTCAACATAAAATATTTATTAATTTTGGCTGATTCAGAGAATAATATCCAAAAATAAAATAATTTACGAAAAGTAATATATTTAAAGGTCCATAGAGACCATTCAAAATACAGAAATAATTTAACAAAAATACTTTTCAAAGTTTCATTTTTTGATAATAAATCTTAAAATTTAATATAAATAGATATAATTGCATGCACAAATAATATTAGTTATAAAAGATGGATTTATGGCTTAAGCATCTTTTTTACAATCAAGAAATTTATTAAATGCTTAGTTTGGTCGCACAAATTTAAGTCAGCTGGAAAAACAAATGACAAAGCTTAACATCGGTATAATTTTGATATTATCAATTAAGATATTAAAATTTGTTACACGGGTATATCGTGTTCCTTTATAAGGTGTATTTTGAAAACCGATCATTGTCTGAAGACCACATTTGACTTTGGATAGTTCAGTTCAATAAAACACAATACAGAGTTGCTTAAGCCATTCAAATTAATCATTTAATGGATAACTCACCTGCACCAGCTCCTGCTGCGGCTCCAGCTCCTGCACCAGCACCGACGGCACTCATACCTCCAGCTGCTTGAACTACTCCTAGATTTGAACCTGCTCTTGGAGGTGAGATGGCAACTGGAGCACCTGCGGCTGGTCCAGCTCCGGCACACCATCCTGGTTTACACCTAGAATAGCATACGATAATCATGCAATTGAGTGTAAGTTACCCTTTCGTAAACGACAGCCCATTAGTAATTTTAAGATATTTCAGTTTAAAATCCAAATACATGTTCTTCGGTTTATGTGCACCTGATTATTTTATTATACAGATACAAAGAAATACTAAACTTACATGTAAAAAGCCCACATCAAACTACTAGCTAAAGCCAGAATTCCCAATATAGCTCCCATAACAGCTCCTGCTCTCGGTCCAGTACCGAAAACACCGGAGCCGGGTCCACCAATGGCAGCAGCAGCAACAGGACCTCCTCCAGCAGCACCACTACCACCACCAGCAGAGCCAATTAGAATACCAGATCCACCTCCACCGGTTGAAGTTTGTGTTCCAGTTCCACCTTCTTCCCATCCTAGTCCCCCTCCTCCGGTTTGTCCTGTACCCCCTGTGCCACTTGGTGGTATTACCACTGGGGGAACTGTAGGTTTGGGGAATGGTGTTGGTAAAATTGCAGGTTGTGTAACAATCTTGATGGTACTATAAATATAGAGTAGAAAGTTATGAGGTTCATACTTGTTTTTTTATTTATGTGATATTAATTTAATAATATGTTTCATTAACCCGGATTATCAATGTATTTTATGTTTTTAGTTCATTTGTTCAAAATTTTTCGCATTTTGACAACTTACCTTCCAGACAATGAGAATGGATGAGGAGCAATGGCTACATCACCAATCCATGCTGTCTGGCGTTTGTTTGCTGCCAAGTCTAATACTCTTAACCCATTGTAGTACATACCTAAAAAAGAAAATTTTAGCGGATTTTATTTACGAATTAATTAGATATAAAAGGAAATGTTGATTTTGCGTTTCGAACATCAACAACAACATTTACAATATCAGTGTATTTTTAAATGATAATAGAATTTAACAAATCGATATAAGAGATCGTGAAGTAAAGTAGATAGATACTTACCAGCTATGATACCATTAAACGGTTGTTGTACAACATTATTAACTCTGTAACCACCGACATATATTGTTCCTTGTTTATCAAATACTCCATGGCGGACTAAAATTAGAATGGAGCATTATCATCAAACTCGAGAGTGCATATAATTCTTTACCAAAATGGGAAAACTATGAACAGCTTTCACCAAATATCATTGGGAACTAGTTACAATTACAATCGAGATCGACCAGAATATGTAGTGATAAGTACACTCGGACTCCGTTGAGTTTAAGTTACCACAACAAATTCTCAAAATTGAGACCTCAACCTCCTGAATACTAAAACATTGTTTTAGCAATGCGAGCCTTTCAAGATAGTAAAAGCCTTAAATGTATTATACTTACTAGCATGGGAATTAATCCTAGCTCCCAAATCATCAACTCTCAAGGTAGCATTGTTACTGGTCCTGTAAAACCTGACTACATGGTATTTACCATCATTGAACTTTTTGGAAGACTGGACGATCTTGCTACTTTTTCCAGAAGAGTCTGTATCGTATTCCGCAACAACGTATCCGTTTTCCTAATGAAGATAAAGAATTTTTGTGATAATTACTCCAGATTCTCTAAATTTAAATTTGAAAAGCAAGATTTGTAGACAGTGGCGTTTCTTGGAAAACTACACTAAACGAATTTGAAATTTCTTACCATTTTCAGTTCAATGAAGTCTCCAACTAAAGCACTGTTGATTCTCATCAGCAAACCGTTCTCTTCGTTAGTCATAAAACCAAAGGCAATATCATCAGCCATGGTGCTGGGTTCAAATCCAGCTGAGTAAGAGTAGATTAACACACCGTTGTTGGCCCCAGATTCCATGATTCTAAATCCATTTGCCTCTGAAAACCCAAAAAGAAGCATTAAAAAGATCGGATAATTCAGTAAGTTTACATGTATGCATGTATATACCTGTATTCCATAATTTGTCCTTGCAACAGGATTCATCAAAGAATCGTTGTGGTTGTACCAGTACCTTAATCGTATCAACAGTTCAGGGAAAATTACATACCTTCGCTACAGATCGTACCAACATAAGATGTCATGTTACAATCGCATCGGAAAAGACCTCCATCAGGTACACAGGTACCGAAGTTTGAACATGTATTTGGTCCACAGATAGACTGGATTTCTGAAACGAAATATATATGTACATATGATTACAGCACTTGGGTGATTACAGCCATTGTCGATTGTATCAAGATCCAAAAAGCCAATTTCCTGATAGCTAGTTCATATTGGTATAATATTTGACAAGTTACTGTATAATCAGGTAATATTATGGTTTTCTTCTAATATGTAAGAGATTTCATTAAAAATACAGTTTAACTTACCAGTACATCCAGTAGAGATATCAGTTGATCCTCGACTGTATTGTAACAGATCAGGTACAGCTCCACTCAAATCAATGGAGGCCAAACATCCTTGGAAACCATTTTTAGACAGTAGAGCACTATTGATGTATGGTTTATCAAACATGTTCTCTGGTAATCCACCAATATACAGGGGACCTTGTAAGTCAATACTGGTATCTCGTCCTTCACTTGCAATAGTGGTAGATGCACCGTCAATACTGACACTGAAACGACGGTTGTCAACTCGACGGATTGTTACAGTATGCCATTTATTGTCGTTCAGTGGTTGAGGTGTATTCATACGCAAAGCTGGAGCACTGTCGCTAGTATTGAAGGAGAAGTGAAGATATCCATTGTAGAGTTCCACGGCAATGAATTCATTATTACGACCACCATTAAACAGTATAACACCACTGGTTTCTTTGGTTTTAAACATCAGGTTGATGACCATAGACTGTGGAATTCTAAGTGTTGGTAACTGGACGTAATGTTCACGTGTCTTGATGGTAACCGGGTTGTAGATCAAGGGAGGTAATGTGGTAATATCTGTCAAGTTGAAACTCAGTGGTTTCTTTGCTGTGTCAAAAACACTGACGTCATTGAACATAAAGCTTTGCATGTAGCCGATATAATTAGTGGCATCACCACCAATTGCAGTTCTGTCGTCAGTTAAACCGCCAACAAATATTTGTCCAATGTCGAAAAAGTATCTTTCACCAGCAAGTTCACCTGGAAAGAAGAACAATAATAATGTGTACGAGCGGTTTCTTCGCTTTGTCTGGGCTCTGATAAAAATAACTTTCAACAGAAAAAGAGATGTCTGTGGTTGATAATGGCATTTCTGTCCACCATGTTTTTGTTTTTGTTCAAGGATTATTTCAGTCTGAAGAGAACGTAGATATTAAATTGCTTTCAAAGGCATAAATATTGGATAAAAGCCAAAAAACTCAAGATAATCACACTATATAACCCACCTGTGACTCTTTCACCATCGTCAACCCAAACTTCTATCTGGTTAGCTCGTCGGTTAATATATACTGTATGCCATTGGAAATCATTGAGATTCTCTCCAGCATAATATGACTAAAACACAATTAACATTTTTGTCTAATATTGTTTAGTTAATTTGTTTTAATTGTACTGAAACAGAAACTCTTTTGGACCATTGTAAGAAATTATAAACTATTGCTCAAAGATACTATATATAAGCAGAAAACAATGCTTAGCCCACGGATGAATTTATGCCTCGTGTTCCTGAAAGTTTGTTGCATGTGAAGACATTTGATACTATAATTGATATCAGTGTTCTATAAACATATTGTATATTGTGACAATAAATTAATAATCACCCCACCTTTGTTTCACCACCGAGATTTGTGGTAACTTTTATACGACCATTTTCTAATTCACATCTGAGGTATTCATTGGATACATCAGTGTAGGTTTGGAACAATAAGGCATCTTTCAATGGTGATTTAAATCTCAATGAGATATCATTAGTGTGAGTCCGAGGAGCATCAATGGATACTATAGCTACTTGATTACCATCTAAAGCACCAATTAATGCATCTGAAGAAAAAAAAACATTTCAAAACTTGGGCATGAATTCAATTGATACGCAGTAGGCAAGGAAAATATCTAAGAAAAAACCTGGGATGATGCTACTAATAGTGGAATAGGTAGCAAATAACACAGTATGCAGCATATGGGATTAGTTTGAACATTTTTCAATAATACCTACTCTTTTCACAGTTTCTTCCAGTAAAACGTGTTCCTCTACAGTCACAACGATAACCATCCCAGGAGTCAATACAGAAACCATTTCTACAGGGTTGAAGTTGGGTACATTCTCGAGGCATATCAAGACATTTTCTTTCTACTTTACCATACAGGAATTGGCCCTTGACCAAGGCATGTAGATCAACCTGTTTACCATTGATTCTCAAATCCTGGATGCAACCTTGATAACCTTCTCTCGACCAGACATACCATGGTAGTGTAGTATAACTGTCATAACCTCCCACATAGAAAGCACCTCGTAGATTATCAGTCAAATTTTCTCCACTGACAAAATTAATTCTCTTAGATTCACCATTCAATAGAAGATCAATATGGCGTCCAAAGAACCTGATCTGCACCTCATGCTGTTGTCCATCCGAAACAATTCTTGGTGAAAAGAGAACTCTTCGAGTAATGCTTCCAAAGTCATAGACAAAGTACAGTTTACCATCATAAAGTTCAATAGCCACGAAGTTAGGTTCAGTTGGTGATCCTTTATTGTAGAACATAAGACCATTGTCCTTGATGGTTTTAAACTTGAAGCTTACGACTCCAGCTTGCTGTACTTTAAGAGTAGGCAAGGTGATGTAAGTTTCAGAAGATTTGAATGTTACCGGTGTAGGACCAACCCTTGGTGGAGGGGTAACACGTGGTGGTGGAGGGGTTCTTATGATTGTGGGTTCCCGGGTGACTGACGGTCGTGGTGTTCGATTAGGAGTTGGTCTATTTATTCCAATATATTCTTCTCGGATATCGATGTCACCATGAGATGAACTGGATAATCCAATAAGATTGACGTCAGTTATTGTATTACCATCTCTAGTGGAGTATATCATCTGTAAGACAAGACAAAAAACTATCATTAAAATAACTTTTATTGCCATTATTTGTATAATTCGCTCTACATATCATTATAAGAGTACTCTTATTTTTATATTGCTCCACGTACTAAACTGCAACTGGGTAAAACTTATACATGAAGGATTATTTCAATTAATTTAGGATATAGTTCAAATACAACAAGAGAACATAAGATGTAAAAACATATGCATTTCCAGAGAGATCTGAGCTAGCGTCAACAACAGCTAGTTTTGATTATTCGAGACTACAGAATTTTCATTTTAAAGTATGGCGTTCACAAAGTTTATAATTCTATCTTCCTTAAAGGTATATAGATATCATACCTCAGCAACACCACCATCGAAGTTTCGTCTGACCACACCATTTGTTAATTCATACGTATTGGGTGTACCACCAACCCATACATCAGCCAATGTTAAGAATTGAATATCATCATTCTCAAATATATAATCTCTACCATTTCTTCCGTCAACTGAGATGTTCACCTGCAATGAAGAAGACACGATTTAACTTTATGAAACTGGGCATGAAGAATGAGACTTGTGCTTATAACTGCAGATAATTTAACGCGATTTATGTACAGATCATGGCTCTGAACACTAACGATGCAGCTAACGCTTTTATCTTTAAAATGTTGATGAACTTGCTACGTTGTTGTCTACTTATTGAGCTATGTTGATGTAAAGTCATAAAATATACTTACTCTTCTGCCCTTTCTGGTTACATGAAGACGATGCCATCTCCAGTCGTTATAACCAGCACCACTATCAGGTCTTATAGTAATCTCTTTAGGACTACCATCTTCATCATTTACGAAGATTAAATTGCCATCCTGTATAATATAAAAAAATAAATTAATAAGAAAAAACAGAAAGAAACAACTGAGGTGCACGATGGATCCTTTCTGTTAGCTGGTCCTCATACGTTGATCAAAGCTCATTGATCTTTCCTGAATTATCCGTAAACATTTACAACTGGATCGACTCTGAGTCACCAGATTTTTACAAGCCGACCAAAATTAGTACCTTACTCTTTCAGAATGAAAGCTGACAGCCCGAAAGATTCTGTGCCACAATGTTCTGGAATTTGGTAAATTGCATAAATGATCAAACCATTCTCTGATAATAACATTACGGAGATTAAAAGAAATATAAAGTAGCATAATTAACTCTACCCACCTTAAGACTGATGTGCATCTCTCGACCATCTTCACCTTGATGGAACCACAGAAGTCCATCAGGTTTGTCCGTAATGAAATAAAAACTAAGATCTTCCTCATCTGTTCTTTGATAATAATTTGGTGGTAGTGTATTGTAATCAAATTTATATTTTAAATAGGCTAAACCATTGAATCTGATAACTTTAGTTGTTCCTCGTCTATCCTCTGTACGAACATTGTAATCGGGTCTTTGGGTGATAATTTCTCCAAAAGCTGGAACACAAGAAAGGTTTCATATATATTGGTTGTCATCGTCTTGATTTCAAATGCAACTCTTATAATCTAATTTCCGGTCTTTTTAATTGCTCGTGTTTCTGTATTTCTGTATGTGAAATGTCTAGCAATTAAGGATTAGTAAGCACGAGTTACGTTAATACTTTGAATGTTGTTTCAAGTTTGATTTCGTCTTGATATTATTTATTCAAATTATGATTCGTTGAGTGTTTAGAAACTGGTTACATGAAACGATGTCATTATCTGATGATACGCTTTTCATAGAAGAGAAGGAAGCTATGTAGTTAATATGTGGCTGAAAGAGGTAGAGATTTTCCAAGGCAAATGCATGTACATCCACCCTCCAGAACACTAAGAACATCGACTTTCCTCCATCAAGATCTGGTTCAAGACAAATATACAATATTAAAAGTAAATTGTGATAAATATAATGGCAGTAGAGATATATGATATGAGTATATTAGGTAAAGAATTACCATCCTCACGGTAATACAAGTATCTCGAGATAAAACCTAACTGGCGTTTACCTTGTTTATTGGTAACTACAAGTGGCTCTGCAGATAACGCTTTATTAGACCAGTAAAACGCTATAATAATATATATTTATATATATATTTCATAAATTAGATATACTGCTGGGTTTCCATATTATACTCATTGTATTGAGTGAATTTTTATGACGCCTTAATTTTCGAGATTTTCAAGTTTTTACACAATGAAATTTATTGTTCGCGCTTCTATCAGTCTGACACTGAGGGAAATCTATAGATGATTCATATTTATATTTGTTAATATGAAAGTGGCTCTCGGCAATATGTGTATTTCCTTGTCCTTAACACAATTTGACAGGACACGAACATAAAAAGAGCCGGCTACCCCTACTTCCCTGAAAATATTTCCCTTATCATTTCTTATTTGAGAACTAACATAATACTAGACTAAACAGAAACACGAAAAAATGTGAAAATAAAAGCCACTTTCTGTAAAAGCCATTCATATATTTTTTTCATAAAGTAAATTATGTACATAAACACGCGCCATAGTGTTATAAAACAACAGGAATTCTACAGTAAAACAGTGATTCTATTTTTACTTTGTGAACTCTCCCTGCTGTCACGATGAGAGAAATTTAACCAGCATGTTGGCTCTATATATCATATAGATATTCTGATAACTGGGTTGTATTTTCACTGTATATCATATATAATTAACTCACTTCCTTATAATGAGACAAATACAGATAGTGCTAGTGCCTTGGTCTGAATTTCAATTACAAAATAATGAGAACAGATATAGAACCATTATCAACGCTATTATTGTAAAGATACAGTCTATAAACAGAAACAGTGAAACCTGTCTCTGGATTGATACAGGACACAACCGTAGAATAACATTCTGATAATTTGTCAGAAGTAACTGGTCATTCAAAACAACACATGTATCGATATAATAATGTATTGCCTTTTTGGATAATGTGCAAAATCTAGTGGCGGCGTTCTCGAAAGAACCCTCTCAGAAGACAGAGTTGCGGCATTGAATTCAGCCGCAAAAGTCTCCCTATTGAGTCAGTGTTACTCCTATTTGTACCCCCAGTCTTGGGCGACTGGCCCCGCCACTGTCAGAATCTCTTATTTATCCGACTCTTTGGAAATAATGTGAGATATACATAATCAGTCATTTGTAAGCTTCAACATTCGTTGGTGAACCCTTCCCCTTACCCATAGCTTGTTTCAGAACAATCAAAGCTTTATATTATAAAAACACATGTTTTATGTTTATAAATATTTCTTCATGTTAAAATGTTTTCAATTTACACTTTCTCGGTTCCATCAACAAATTACTAGCCTCATTGACCTGTACGTCTTCACCACTGGTCAATAAACATTATTTTTACCAGACTTTTATTGTGGTAATGACCGCCTTTGAGAACAAGTGTTTTAGTAGAGAATTATACACACCAGATTAACTATATTCCTCAGGAAGAAATATAAACCTAATATAATATAACATAATAGCTTATAAAGTTTTTCTACTTTGACATATTTGATTTGGTTTAGGTATTCTTTTGAGGCAATCTTGAGAGTCCGGTTGTTTTCTTACAACTACTAAGCAGGAATCATTGTTCAACAATAGAAATTCACTTTTTCTGAACGACAATTATTTCTATTCGAAAGAATTTTTGACAGACTGATTATCAGATGAAAACTTTCTATTGCAGAAATTCTTTTATAACACAAATAAAAGTGCAGATAAATATGAAAAACCCAAGCAACCTATTGATACAGATCAGATGGTAAAACCATCATATTATTTATAATATCAGTAACCTTTCACCTATTACATGTTATCTGGGAAGAATATATACAAGATGTCAGTGTAGTGTGTTCCAGGAACCGTGCCAATATTTACATATTTTAATAATTAATGACTCATACCGGCTCTCATCATCTGATTACAATCCTTTCACTGTGTTGCTTCACTCGATAAGAAACTTTAGGTTGATTAAGTTATAAGCATTAACACACTTAAATAAAATTAATAAATACAAACCTTTTGATTTGTATTCTAAAAGTTATTTAAAATCAAGCTAAGCGATCACAAAATAATGGTCTGAATAGCATAAATGACGAGAATGAACTTGAGGAGCCGCAGCTCGAAATTATCTATAAAGATACACGTTAAAAACCGGATTTTGGTGCTTCTCGTGCAAAATGAATGCAAAACGAATATTAGTTGAGTAATTTCGTTCCTTATCTCAATGATATAAAAACATGAATGCTGCTTAGTCTGCAGGGATTTCAAACCACAATTTGGCATTCGAAAAGAACATGTACTGTTATCATTTCTGTATTGTATTCGTATCTGTAATTCAAGCATGTAATACTTGCTAATATCCTGGTTTAAATTACATTAGTTCCCAAGATTTTTCGTTGCTGAACTCTGAAATGGTGAGTGAAATTAATGTGCCTTCATTATAATCTGTAGGTGTATAAAAGTATCATCGGGGTCATATTCAAAACTATTTTTGTAGAACTGTGTTTATTTTGGTCTCAATTTACATGCTAGTTAAATATTGACTCAAACGCGTGCATGACATTCTAATTCATCTATACTTGACATAAGATCGCCTGTTTGTAATATAATACTCCTTTGGATTGCTCGGACAAGTTTTGTTTTACTAAAAATTTTCATTCTGTTTCTGTTGAATCATTCTCACCTTACCGCAACTACTTCAATAATAAATATACAGTTGAGCATCTTTATTCTTTTTCAAAATGGTATGTACATTCTTCTTAGCCTTTT